AGTCTTACACACCGAGGCCTTACACATGTTGTGTAAGGCCGCTGACACGGAACTAAAGCCTCAGTCCCAAACAGTTCCTAGCTTTTCATGTGACAGATGTTTGGGGACCTAAAAAGGCAATGGGATCTGCTTGAGATTTTATCTGTATCTTAAAAAAGTGCGATGGAAGTGTAAGCCAAGTAAGCCTTTCCCAAGTTTCTTTTGGCCATAGGATTTCACCACACACTAGTAACCCTAACTGAAGACCGCTTTTGAGCTCACATTCTGGTGAGGCTAACTTCGAAAGAAAGAAAGAAAAAGAAAGAAAGAAAGGAAGGAAGGAAGGAAGGGAAAAGAAAGAGGGAGGAAATGAAAGAAAAATAAGAAAGAGAGAAAGAAAGAAAGAAAAGATGGGTCATATAAACCTTTAAGAATGCTTACTTATTTAAAGTGCAGCCTGATTATTCTTCTTCTTCTTCTTCTTCTTCTTCTTCTTCTTCTTCTTCTTCTTCTTCTTTTGGTTTTTCGAGACAGGGTTTCTCTGTGGCTTTGGAGCCTGTCCTGGAACTAGCTCTGTAGACCAGGCTGGCCTCGAACTCACAGAGATCTGCCTGCCTCTGCCTCCCGAGTGCTGGGATTAAAGGCGTGCGCCACCATCTCCCAGCTGCAGCTTGATTCTTTATGGACTTCTTTTACGTAGCTATGCCATTGGTATACAGCTTTATTGAATGTGCACACATAATTGGGGACTTCCACAGTTGCGAGGATATTAAAAGATGTTCTCGTTCAGTATATTCATTGTACAAATGAGAAACAGGACAATGGCGTCTCACAGGTTCTGGGCACTTCAATTCTGTGATTTTATGGCTCTGGCAGCTACTCATGAAACAGACTGAAGTCACATCTGTCTTCTGAGATACACATCAGGCTATTTTAGAGCTCTCAGCACGTCTCTGCACTGGGCGGCACTCAGGACACGAGGTGGCTGATTGCTTCTTGCAGAGCTCACAAGGAGGATTATGTCACTTTTTTTTTTTTTTAAATTAAACTTGAGGCTAGGAAGCCTAAACAACTGCAATACTTTACCAAAAGCCGAGCCTGGGAAACTCAACTCGGAGTTTTCAAATTGCCCTTATTTTAGACAAGATCACTTCAAGTCTCATTTACGAAACATCTGGGCCCTGTTCTGTTCAGATATTTAGTTTACAGTCTTCTAAAATGTTAGGGCCAAGACTCTACACCTCTGGGATTTTTTTTTCTTCTTAGTCACATGGCATAGGTAAATCCAGAACATTCTTTCTAGGACCTTTATGGCAGGAGAACAGAGAATTAGACAATGGCCATACTCCATTTAGATCTCTTTTTCCCTTCTCAGTTCCCTATTTAATATCATCAAATAGCCTCTTCCTTGCCCTTCACAAGCAAATGATAGTGTGCACCGTGGTGCCTGGTGGGAGATGAGGGAAGAAGGGCATCTCTCTCCCCAGGGAATCTGGCAAGTGTCCATTCCGCCCACACCCTCTGTTCTTCCTCCCTCCCCCAGGGGTCATCACCCTCAGCAGCTGGAGTGATTAAGAGTTCAGTTGGAGCCCAGCGGGCCAGGGCTTTACTGGTTAAACAAACCCTGAGCATAGTGAGTTTATATTTGGGTCTTGGTCTTCAGAAGGCTCCTCATTGTCATAACCCGGGGCTCTAGTCTCACCAACATTTCTGCAACTGGGAGCCTGCGGATAGAGAACCAGAATATGAGGAAATCCACTTTGGTCTTGGGGATCCCCCAGTCCAGTTTCAGGATGACAGTATACTCATTCTTCCACCGGCTTGTGCAGAAAGCCTGCTTAGTCTTCAACAATGTGGCGCTTCCTACTTAGCCAGGTTGCTGGTCTTGAAGAAGACAAACCCAGCCTCTCTTGTTTTGCTGAGAGTCTCCTTTTTAAATACTTATTTTTAAGTGTGTGTGTGTGTGCGTGCGCGCGTATGCGTGTGTGTGAACTTGAGTGCAGGTGCCAGTGGGGGCTGAAGATGTCCAATCTCTTTGGAGCTGGAGTTAACATTCCTTTGGGAGGCACCTGACTTGGGTGCTGGGAACTGAACGCAGATCCTCTGGCAGAGCAGTACATGCTCTCAACGGCTGAGTTATCTCTCTGGCCCCCCACTGAGGTTCTCCTTTGGATTTGACTGTGACAAGGAGTCCCAACTCTTGTTCATGACAGCTTGTTTTGGAAGCCCCCTGATAAACATCACCTGACAGGCTCGTTGACCTCAGCCATGTATTGATCAGGGAGTGAGGGTAAATCATAACTACTGAAATAACTCTTGAACATCAGCCGTTTGATAACACTGAAGGTTAACCGAGGGTTTGGCAAGGGAACTGAGCCAGCTTATGTCAGAATTTCCCCTTCTTCAAGGGCCCCAGAGCCCCCTTTGCTACCTTCCGCACTTGACTTCTGGAGAGGGGACAGAGTAAATGACCTTATGGAGGATCCAGGGAAGATGGGCACATCACAGTGACTCACAGGCAGAACCTCGTACTAACCTCCCTCCAAGGGCTAGGAGTGACCCTTCCCCCTACACACCAAGGGAAAAGAAACCCTGAGGACTTGAGTGCTGACTGTTTCAACATCAGTCAGACACTCTGAGGAAACAGTTGTGCAGGGTTAGAGGCTAGGGTCATAGCCAGCCAGCGAGGGCAAGAATCCTCGTCTCATCTCTTCTCAGCTTCGGGACTTTTACAAACTGTGTACGGCAATAGTTAGGGTATTGCTGATCGGATCGTTGCTAGGTTTAAACATGAGGACTAAGTTTAGAACAGCGGCTGTACCTTTGAACTACCTTGTGAATGTTAACTATTTGTAGTAATGTGAAACACTTAGAAATTAGGTCCGATGTACCAGACTAGGTCGGCTATGTCTACAGACGAAAGTACTGTCCACTAAAGATCTTAGCTAGCTTTGATTTGTGATGCTAGAGTTGTGTGGCACTCATTTTACAACAAGATGAGGGTCTGAAGCGCTGAGCGAAGAAACTTGGTAGAGAATGAAGGGCTCAGGCAAGCAGGGCTAGAAAAGAATGAGTTGATTGTTTCACACCTCCCCCCCTCACACCTTCCTCGCTCACACCTTCCTCACTCACAAGGGTGGATCAGCCTTGTCTTGGCCATCTGAAGCTGGGCTGTGTGCCCATTTGGCTGTCACTTCCTTGGTAGTATAGAACTTCACCTGGAGTGACTCCATGTGGAGCTCAGCGAAGGAACTCAGCCCAAACCCATGACCCCGATCGATTTTACCAGCCGCTAGTTACCCCTCTCCTTACTGACGACTTTGACTAAACCCATGGTTTTCTCATCTTCCAAACTCGCCACCTGTCTGCATCTGCTTCTCTTCTCTTCCCTCCTTTGCTGGAGCTTTAATTGTCTGTTTCTGTTTGCAAGTTTCGTTTCTCTCCTCGGTGCATAGTTTGGCTGTGAAAAGTCCCTTTGGTCAGTGCCCCTCGCTGTGGCTCCCACTTCCTTCTCCATCCAATGCCTTCTGAAAACTTCCTCCTAATGAAATCTGCTCTTTATAGCACAGTTCAAGAATTTCTCTAAATTAAGTGCATTGTCTCCTGCTTTTCCATTTCTTCCCTTATATTGTAGCATGCTCAGAGGAAACGCAACCCAAGGGAGTCATGGCCATTAGTGGCAGAAACTCAATTGGGAATCGGGTTTTATGGAGTCTCTGGGATCCAGACAGGACAAAATAGTCAACAGATTTTATAAATGTCAGTCAGAACCTGAGTGAAGGGCTCTCGCAGGCCTGAGCATGGGAAACACGGCGCTGATCAGGTTGTTGCCTTTTACCTTTTTCCCTCTTGCTAAAACCTATTAGATTCCATTCCTAAAGCTAGCCTCCAAGGTCTATTCCCTTATTTGGCCACAGATTCATTCCTGAGACAAACCACCAAGGTCCAACAATCAAAATTCACTGTTTGGCTAATATGTTCAGTCAGGACTTACCAACTCACCCTAGCAGACTTCCCTTTTCTCGCCTTAAAAACCCGACTCCTACAAAAAACACTTGCTCCCTGCTTGCTTGCTGAGCTTGCTGCCTGTCTTTGCAGATCAACCTCTGAGCTGAGAATTTGATGTCCAGGTGCGTCCTGTACCGACTCTGAGGGGACCGCTCTCCCTTTAGCTGAGATAGAGAGTTGACAGGTTTTATAATATCTTATCTGCACAAATACCACCCGGGGGATTTGGGCTGACATCCTGTGACTGGCAGCTTTAAGAGGGCACAACAGTCGCTTCCCCACCTGGACCAGTGTACACAACAGGTATTCAGAACTGTTCGTGTGTAACCAATCTTTATTTATGGAAAAGGAATTAAAATGAGAGCTAGGAACTGGCTGATGAGAATAAGCAATCAGACGTATGGAAGACTGGATACTTTCTCCTGCTTCACGGCACCCTACTTTTGATGGCAGTTTAAAATGAAAGGAGTAAAGCCATTGTTGACGAGTATTTTTCTTTGCAGCCAAGAGAACTCTAGCGATGGTGGAGACTAACTAAATGGACCATCTTCTCCCCTCACGTTTTTCTCTTCGAACATTAACAAGAAGACACCTTCTCCAGATTATCCTTAATCGGGAACAGGCCCTTCCTCATATACTCATGGGGGTGAAATTTTCAAGTCACAGAAAGCCAAAAGATCACATCCTATCAAGTTAATTTTTAAGTGTTCTATAACTAAATTTCAAACCTGAGAAGATCCTGGAACGTGTTGTTCTGAGCTTCTGTCATGGGAACTAGCTTCATGTTGAAATTGTCGTAGGAGAGACTGTCTGGACTCCACGTTCCCCAACTTTGTATTCACTTACACTTGGATGTGTGACGCTCACTGCTGATCTTCACTTCCAGGAAACTGTGCGCAGAGGTGTCTGTCCAGAGTTCATGAGATAACTCCAAGATAAACAAGTGACCTGGAAAAACAGGAACTCAAAAAAACCCAGGCTGTTTTACTTCCTAAAAACAGTGTGAGGTGGGATGAAAACTGGGTGTGGCGGCACACGTCTTTAATTCCAGCACTCAGGAGGCAGAGGCAGGTGGATCTCTGGGCGGTTCAGGCCAGCCTGGTTTACAGAGTGATGTCTAGAACAGCCAGTGTTCCAGAAAGAGATTCTATCACCAAACAAAAGAAAAAAAATAGAAAGAAAAAAGAAAGAAAGAAGAGAAAGAAGGTTTGAGAGAAGAGAAAGAAACTCAAAATCCATTAGCCTGAAGAACCTGGCCTTTCTCCTGGGATAAGAACTGAGTACAGGAAAGTCGCTGCATTGTGATAGCCTCCATCAGAGAAACTAATCTCCAGGACTGAGAACCGAGGGCCCTGACCAGATTGGAGGTGGGTGGTGAAAAACGAGGCAGGTTCCCAGGACCCCTTCCTCCCTCACATGTTCTAGAACCTTGAGACTCGGGTCTCCTTTCTTGTAGGCCCACGGATGCAGAACTGGTGTGCTGATTTGAGGGATCGTTGAGGGGGGGGGAGACAGATGCTGAGACCAGGAGAGCTTTGGAATGTACTGCGAGTTCGTTGTTTCCGACAGGGAGATACTCTTTGTAAGAGCATTCCAGGTTTGCTCACATCCTAGCCATGGGACAAAAGCCTCCATCCCTGAGCTTTGGGACTCTCAAGAGGCACAGTGCCAGTACCTTGGACGATCTCTTTAATTTGCATTGAGTGTTGCTTATACTCAGCATTTGTTTTTTAAACAGAGTCTTACTATGTAGCTCAGACTGTTAGCTCAGACTTGCTATATTGCCCAGACTAGCCTCAAACTCTTAATCCTTCCGCAGATCTGGGATTACCTATTCATTTTAGTATTTACAATAGTAAATTATGGTCTATGTTTTGATTTCTGGAACAAGGTCCCGTGTAGCACAGACTGGCCTCCATCTGTTTACATACCTAAGGATTATCACGAACTCCTGAGCCTTCTCTGTCTACCTCTCAAGTGCTGGAATTACAGGTACATGCTGCCATGCCCAGGTATAGTCTCACAAAAGGATCTTGTGACTGTGACTTATGGAAGAATAAAAGAGAGATGAGAGAAGCAATGTTTAGACTTAATATTTGGGGCTGGAGAGGTGGTTCAGAGGTTAAGAGCACTGGTTGCTCTTCCAGAGGTCCTGAGTTCAATTCCCAGCAACCACATGGTGGCTCACAGCCATCTGTAATGAGATCTGGTGCTCTCTTCTGGCCTGCAGGCATACATGCAGGTGGAACACTATGTACATAATAAGTAAATAAAAAAGAAAATAAATAGACTTAATATTTGGTTTTATTAAAAGTAATTTTACTGGTCTCAAATCTCTCTCTCTCTCTCTCTCTCTCTCTCTCTCTCTCTCTCTCTCTCTCTCACTCACACACACACACACACACGCACAAAAAAAAAACCCTGAGTAATTCATATGAGTCAAATTCGTGACTTTTCTCCAGTAACTTTAAGACAGTCCATTATCACGTACCCTTATCAATCTGTTCTTTCTCTGGTCTGCGCACTCTTTGCTGCAGAGCCAAGCAGCCAGTAAATATTTGTTGAATGAGTAAATGTACAAATGTATCCCAGTCATTTGTATTTTTAGCAGGAACACGTCAGCCCAGTCCAGAGAACAGGTTGTTAAGGGAAAAAAAGTGGGGGTGGGGAGACAAATGCAGGTCATACGTGCTATAATATAGTATAGTATAGTACAGTACAGCACAGTATGGTATAGTACAGTACAGTATAGTATGGTACAGTACGGCACAGCACAGTACAGTACAGTACAGTACAGTATAGTACAGTACAGTATAGTACAGTACAGTGTAGTATAGTATAGTATAGTGTAGTATAGTATAGTGTAGTGTAGTATAGTACAGTATAGTACAGTATAGTATAGTATAGTACAGTACCGTGCTGGTAGTCAAAGGAAAACAAGTTCATAGCCGGCCTGGGGTACAGAGTGAGAAACTGTCTCAAGAAACAAACTTTCTATACCTTGGCATTGGGGTGGGGGTCTCTGCATCCTTCCTGCCCTGCCATTGGGTGATGTCTGAGTCATTGGGGTGGGATCTCTGCAGCCTTCCTGCCCTGCCATTGGGTGATGTCTGAGTCATTGGGGTGGGATCTCTGCAGCCTTCCTGCCTTGCCATTGGGTAATGTCTGATTCATTGGGGTGGGGGTCTCTGCAGCCTTCCTGCCCTGCCATTGGGTGATATCTGATTCACTGGGGTGGGGGTCTCTGCAGTCTTCCTGCCCTGCCATTGCGTGATATCTGATTCATTGGGGTAGGGTCTCTGCAGCCTTCCTGCCCTGCCATTGGGTGATATCTGATTCACTGGGGTGGGGGGTCTCTGCAGTCTTCCTGCCCTGCCATTGGGTGATATCTGATTCATTGGGGTGGGGGTCTCTGCAGCCTTCCTGCCCTGCCATTGGGTGATATCTGATTCATTGGGGTGGGATCTCTACAGCTTTGCTGCCCTGCCATTGGGTGAAGTCTGAGAGTTGGTGCCATGCACACTAACTTTTCTTCATGGTAACAATAGTCACTGTCTATACCAGTTACTAACCAAGCAATTCAAATCTGTCCATATCCATTTCTGTGGAAAGAATCTATATCTTGCCTGGGTATATGTAGAAACTTTGTTCCTCTGAATTAGGCCATTCTCTGCCATCAACAGCATAACTTCAGACCCGGAGAAGCAGCTTATTCTGGTTCACAGTTCTGAGTCCAAGGTAGAGAAGCCACATCGCATGGCGGCCTCTCACTGGCAGTCCTGGGATAGCATAGAAGAGGCAAGGAGTGTGACTACATGTGTGCATGCATGTGTGTGAGTGTACGTGTATGTGCGTGGCGTGTGTGCCCATCTCTCCCTCTTCTTACAGAGTCACCATTACTCATCCATAGGACTTTCATCCTTGTCCACCTCATCCTGGCGACACATTCGTCATATCCAAACCATAGCAATTCTCTTCGTTGTGGAAGAATTAGCTTCGAGGAAAGCAGTATATGTTCTTCCTTCTCATCTTGTGTTCTTTGCTGGGTGTTCTGTTTATTTCTTAGATAGAAGAGGAGCTGAGGAGGAGCATACAGATTGACTTCTTGAGTGTTAATAGTGTGAGTGGGTGGGGGTGTTAATACTGCCTGATGTGAGCCATAGAAGTGTCATCTGTGTTAAGACCAAGCTGCTTACCTTGAACAGAAACCTGACTAACTTATCTGCAGCTGTTATGAGGCTTGCAGGGTATGTACCAGGGAGAGACAGTGGTCCCCTGTGAGTACGCATAAAGGTGTGTTTAACTCGTGATGAACCTTGAGGGGAAGTCCCGTTCTGGGTGCAGTGCTGACTCACACATGCAATAGTGCATGAGTTCCTCTAATGCTGAATTAAATTGTATCCGATAAGGTATTATTACTTAATACAGCAAAACCCAGGCATATTATCTTTACCTTCAAAATCAGTTGTCTATCGTCGGCCTCACCAAAGGGAAGCCTGTACATTTTGTATTTAAGAGCCAGGTGTGTTGGTGCACACTTTAAATCCCAGCACTTGGGAGGCCGAGGCAGGTAGATCTCTGTGATGCTAGCTTGGTCAGTGAGCCCCAGGACATCCAGGGCTACATAGAGAGATCCTGTCTCTCAAAAAAAATATTGTTGTAGTTTAATTTAGAGTGTTTATAAATCTGAAATATTTTTTAAAAAATGTTTTTATCTAGGACTATCTAAACAAGAAAAATGGTAAAGAAAATTAGACTTCCCAATTGTCCCATCGTCATGGTGAAATATTTCTGCTGTGACTAATTTCGAGTCACCAATGGACAACAGGAGGTTCACAAGAATTCTTCAGTATGGGATTTAAACCTGGACTCTGGTTAACTAGTGAGCATTGGCTTCAGCAAACACCCCATAATAATTTGTTTTTAGTCACAGAGACTGCATGGGTCTGCTCTAGGTCCTCTGCATACATGCTGTGGTTGAGGAGGTTTTGTGAGACAACAAAACAGCAGTTCAGGGGGGCTCTGACTCTTTAGCCTGCTCTTGGGACCCATTCCTCCTACTGGGCTGCCTTGTTCAGCCTTGATGTGAGGGTTTGAGTCTAGTCTTATTGTAATGTGTTATATCATATCTGTTGCTATCACTGGGAGGCCTGCTCATTTCTGAAGGGAAACGGAGCAGCAGTGGACCTGGTGGAGAGGAGAGGTGGGGGCTGGGAAGAGCGGAGGGAGGAGAGGCTGCAGTTGGGATGTATTATATGAGAGAAGAGTAAATAAAAAAAAAATAAAAAGAAAAATATAGCTAATTAAATGATAAAAAAATCTTCCTTCATTATCTTACTATGCTAACACAAATGACCTTGTGGAAATTCAAGTTTCTACTGCTGAATATGGACTGTGGCACACAGTATAGCATACATGCTGTGCTTGCATGTTCGAGAGCATGGAAACCTCTCATGTGCTCACATGTGATAGCGTGGAAACCATATAGAAGTGCTCTCACGGGCTGGAGAGGGGACAGTGCTTGCATTTTTTCAATTTGCAATTTCTCCCCCTTTCCCAAACCACTTGTTGAGCGCCCTGGGCTAGGTATGCCGTGGGTCTTCAGGTTTTCTGGAATTCAGTGTCCTGTGTGTCTGAGGTGATCGCTCTGTCTTCTCTGTGAGATTCATGCTGCCTGACTGTGTCTCCTGCGTACTCTTACTCTCTCGCATTCTTTTCCGAAACTCGGCTCTTCTCATTTATTTAGCGGCTACATGTAGTAAGTGTTTTCAAATACAGTTGGTGTTTGGCCTAGCAGTAGCCTCTGTGTTCACTTGTTGGGCCAATGAGCTTCTTAACTCAATGAAGAAGAAACCTGATGCTCATGGCCCATGGGTGTCATTAAATTTCTGCCACTTCTTGAGCCCTGATGGAATACAGAGGAGAAGATGTATTTGTTCTCTTAGATCTGTGAACCCCACCACTTGGTTACTTTGTGTGTGAGCTTGTGTGCATGTACATGTGTGTAAATGCAGCTGTGCATATCTCATGGAGGGCATAGGAAAGTCATGGGACAGCCTCAGGTGTCAATATTCAGTTCCCACCTGGTTTGAGAGTTTCTGTCTCTTTGTTATTTCCTACCGTGAATAGAGGCTGAGATTTCAGAGACTGTACATCTTCACATTCCATGTTGCTGAGAGCATTAGGATCACACACACACACACACACACACACACACACACACACACACACTACTGTGTCCTGGCTTTTATGTGGATTCTGGGGATCAGAATTCAGCTTTAATGACAAGTGCCCACCAAACTATCCTGTGAACCGACATTTGAGGCCAATCTTGCTTCTCCTTTTCCTGAATGTCAGTGTGATTGATGTTCGGTGTGTCTGACCCTCCAGAGCCAGACTGATTTGAGCAAGTTTGTAAGCCACTTTGTTCAGTCTTTGCAAGTTAGCTTCATTTCCATCTCAATGCAACACTTTTCCACAGTCAGTTTCTGGCCCCCTAGCGCATGGCAGTTGATAGTTTGTTTGTGTGACAACCCCTAGGACTGGCCAATAATGGCAAGAGGTGTGTGTTCATGTGAATGGGTAGGCAGAAAAGTAGAACACTTGGAGATCAAGTGAGAACATCCTGGAAGAATCACGAATGTTTTGCCTCATTCATCTACCCACTCTTCTGTCCACATGTATCTTACTGCTTTTATTTGCTAGAGGTGGGAAGGGCATATTATTTCAGGGAATGGACTTTAGTTCCTCCCTTCACCAACACTAATTCCTCTGTGTGAATGTTCTCCAGTGTCGTATTGATCCTTCTGGGAAGTGAGAACCAAGTGTTTTGGGGTGAGGGATCTTCTGGGTGACATGAAGTGTTAGTCGAGGAAAGTGGATCCCTTGCTGAGGCCGAGCCCAGGCTTTGACTTGCTCATTGCAGGGGAGACATCTCTGGACCTGGTTGGTTCCTCATAACTTGTCTATCTGTTATCAGTGTCTGAGTGCTCAATGTGTATACGTGGCTTATCTTTAAAGCTTTTGGGGGTGGTACTGCATCACACGAATAGAGGCAATAGAAATAATGTCCTTTATTCTTTCTTCTGATTGAAGCTGCTTTTGCTGAAGAGCACTGACTTCTCACTCAGGCCCACAGGGGAACTAAATGTAGGGGAAAGAAAATCCTGCATCTCATGCTTCACCTCTGCAGGTTGGCATGCCAGTGATGTAGGAGTCCCTACATATGCTGTGAGAATGTTTTATTACCATTGGTTAATAAAGAAGCTGCTTTGACCTATGGCAGGGCAGAATAGAGGTAGGCAGGAAAACTAAACTGAATTCAGGGAGAAAGAAGGTGAAGTCAGGCTACCGAACCTTACCGGTAAGCCACAACTTTGTGATACATAGATTAATAGAAATGGGTTAATGTAAGATATAAGAACCAGGAATGTGCCCAAACTGTTAATCAAACAGTGTTGTAATTAATGTAGTTTCTGTGTGATTATTCAGGTCTGGGCACCCAGGAAAGCAATGCACAGTCTCCTTTTACATGCCAGTCACTCGGGGGAGTGCCTGCCTAACCTGTCCTGTCCACTGTTATAAACCTGTGATCTTGATTTTAAGAAAACTTAAACTTCAGAGGACTGACAACCTGCCAGATGAGGTCAAGGCTGTCCCCTGGAGCAGAAAGAATCATCTCCTGAGAACTCTTGTCTTCTCAGACAACAAGGACTCCTTTTCTCTTCTCCCTTATCCGTAAGTCCTTCCTTCTTTGTGCTGTTTTGCAGAATCTGAACTAAGACAGTGACCAAGGAGACCACACATTAAATGGATTACTTAACTGCTTGTTCCTCTTGCTCCTCCCTCAATTCTTTCTCCATTTAACCCCAAAGCTCCTGAGAATGCCCTGTAAATAGACTTGGGGATCTCTGAACCCCTTCATCTCTCTTGCCTTCCCCGTTCATCACTGTTACTTGTGTCTTTAGTCGGCAGACCAGGATGAGTGGCCAAATCTTGCTTGTTGGTGCCACTGGAACCCAGGCTTTTATCTTGAAAACTCTGGTTACACATTCATTCTTTGGACTCAGGAGGTCCACTGTCCATCCCCCCTAGAGATGTTGGATATCTGGTGTCCCTGCATCCACTGTTTGTACGTGGTCAGTTACAATGATTCTGTCCTGCTCCTGACTTCCTATCTTACAGATGAACTCAGTGTTCAAAATCGTCCACTTCCTCCCTTCAGTACCTCATTCTCCTGAGCTGATTGGATGGCTTTCTTGTAGCCTATAGACTGCTAGCACCTGCAAGGTGTTTTGACATTAATAAAAAATTTAGACTAGAGATTTCATGATCAGCAACTCATTTCCTGTTTTTCATACATCTGCGTGAAAACTCCTTTTATCCTCCTAGTCACAGCTGTGTGTGCACACCCTGCTGACTGGAAACGCTCTAGTTTTTGATGTAATTTACTTAATTTCCAGATTTGACTTCTAAAGATATTCTGGAACCTGGTAAATTACCCAAGAAAACTAAAGACTTGAGTGGAAGTCATGATGGAGGGCATTTACTTTGAGAGGCTATACGTGTGTGTGTGTGTGTGTGTGTGTGCGTGTGCGTGCATGTGTGCTTGTGTGCATGCATGCACTAGGAATCTAACTCAGAGCCTTGCACATGCTAGGTGTCAGGTCCAAAAGAAACTCAAAACAAATGGCTAACTGTAATGGACGCAGGCTTCTAGGCTCACTCAACACCTGAGCACTCAACTCTTCTCACCCACCCCCTACCCTAAACCTCTCCAGCCCATAGGGAGCCAACCCTAACCCTCCCCCAGCTTCTGATTCCTATATAACCCTGCCATTTATGCCCTGTGCCCCTTGGTCCTCTCTTTTCTCTTTCCTTTGGTTTTCTCTCTGTCTCCTTTTCTCTTCATCTCTCACTCTCCCCCTTTTCTCCTCTTTTTGTCCTTGCCCCCCACCCCTGCCACGGTCCAGTTCAGTCTGCTGGTCATTCTCAGACTACTACTTTCTTGCTCTCTACTCTTCCAGATACTCTGGTTATTCTCTCTCCATATCTACAATTAAAAATGTCACCTCGGTTCCACCTTGGAGCTGTAATGTCCTCATCAGGCAAACCTTCTACCACAAAGCTACACAGAAAGTTTGTTGGCAGTCTTCATCTACCAGTATTGATTATTTCCATGTTAATATCTGGAAAATATGCAATTCTAATTTAACTGCTTGACTTTAAATGTTGTTTTTTTCCTTGGATGTGCTAAGAGACTAGGTTTCTATATGCAAGAGTTATCATACACCTTTTAAAATTTTGTTTGCTCAGGTATTATATTTCATGCTAAGGTCAAATATGATTCTTTCTTAGTTACTTCATTCCAACCATGTCTCCAAGGGGTTGTTGTCGAGGATTCCAGGGGATTGTTTTCAAGACCACTTTCCAAGTGCCAGGAAGCATTTGCTGGAGGACAAGCACGGGCTAATTTAAAAGACTAGCGGTCAAAGCAACATTAATGACTATGTTTGTCTTCCCTCTGTTACTTACAGGGCTTTTCTAAAAAAATCACACGAGTGTCAAGCTGTGTTTTGGTCGAGTTAAAAAAATAAATAATCTGGAGTTGCAGAAATCTATTTACACTGGCTTTCTTCCAAGAAGACGAGAACAATGGAATTACGTATTCACTAGCAGAAGTGACACCAGTGTTAAGCCAGGTGATTTCCACAGGGAACTAAGAAATATGGAGAAAAATAACCATGACTTCCCATAGCCCTGATGGTTAAACACAAGGTTCCAGGTTTCTGTGTACTTCCTGCCCATAGTGACAGTAGCTTTACCTTGCCTGTGCAGACAGACAGACTGCATACAAGTCAAGAAGGACTTACTGTACTATGAGATGAGAATGAGTTTCTGGACCAGCAAAGTGATAGTTTGGGCATTCTGTGCGGGCATTGGGGCAAAAGAAATCTACTTAGTAAGCCTGGCTAGGTCATTTATTAGCTATGTAATGGGGAGAAAGTTTCTTAACTTGTCTTTCTGCCTCACACTGTCTGTAAGAGGGAGAGGGGAACAACTGGGCCAATCATAGATCTTGACAGAGGAAGTCAAATGAAACAATCTGTTTATACACGGAAACAAACGACACATGCCTTTAATACACAGGCCTTTGACAACCATTTAAGATGCAAACTGTAGTTCTCAGGCTCTAGTTTTGTCACTTAAAGAGCAGCCAATGACCAACTTGTGCCATGGACCTCGTGGCAGAGGGGCAGCTGCTCTATTTGAAGAGGTGGCAGTAACAGCACCCACATCTTTATAGCTAACAAAAATTCCCATGCCAAATTGAACAAAAGGCCCAATACTGGAAAATTCTTCGTGTGTGTGCCTAAGTCAACCCAGATGTTACGTGATAGTGGCTTTATCCGTAGATGAATACATTTAAAATTTTGTTTGTTATCATCTACTCAATCAGGGGTTCTCTCCATCTCTCCGTTTCGGTTAGTGTGGCCATTGTTATGATCATTTATTAACATTTTAATTCCCTCTTTCCTGTAGATACGAAGAGGCTCAACTTCTGCACTTCTCCCCCACTTGAGGTTAGTCACATTCACACAGTTTGATTTGGCAACGGAAACGTGAGAGGAAATGGTGATTCACAGCTCATTTCCTCAGCTTTGATCACCACGGAAACCGTGTCGAGATGGAATCTATACCAGCCAACTCTGCCAATGGGTAAGGGGCCCTCTATTGTGGCTGAGGAACAAAATGCCTTGACCAACGAGACTTTGGGGATGTTTATTATTGAAGCAGAAGCTGGCCTATCCTGACTAGTCTAGGTAGAATAGAGAAAGGCATTTTTCTAGTGGGTGAAAATGGATTCTAAAGTAGTCTGGTAAAACACTGAACAAGTTAACAGTCTGATGCTTACAAACAGGTAGGCTTCAAAGACAAAAGCCTTCCACAAACAAAATGTCAGGAAAAGAAAACCCTTTGGAAGCTATGTCTTAAAGGTTCCTTGACCCCTCTGGCTCCTACAATCCCTCCTCCTTCTCTTTAGCAGGAGTCCCTGAGCTCAGCCCAATGTTCAGTTGTGGGTCTGTGTTGGGAGCTGTGAACCCAGATCCTGAATTTCTTGTAATCAACTTGTTTTCCCCTGATCTGAGTGCCTACAGCTGCTCTGAGCACGAGACCCTTAGGAGTCCCTGATGGCAGGAGAGTGGTTTCTGGTGGGTTTGGCTGGGGCGTGGCTATCAGTTAACGATCCATATATAAGCTGCCCCTGAACACAATAAGGGGGGCATTCTTGGGGCATTCTGGCATCAAGGATGACCTGTGTCTCTGTCTCTGTGTCTTTGTGTGTTTCAGTCTCCAGCCCCTTGCCCGGTTCATGAACTGTATGGTGGCGCATAGAGTGCAGAAGCGCGTGGTGTCAGGTCTGCACCTGTTTCCACCAGTTATTGTATGAAGGCTCTCTGGTGACAATTGGGGTGGTCACCAAGTATAGCAGAATATCATTCGGCATCATTACATAAACACTTTGTGCTCTCCAATTGCATTTGGTTCTATCCTAGGTCTCTGGGCCATCCAGCCTCTGGGTCCTGTGCTCCAAGCAGTTCCAGGGGTGGACTCACTCTGGTGGCATGGGTCTCAGGCTGGATCAGTCATTGGTCGGCTACTCCTACAATCTCTGTGCCACCCTTACCCCAGCACATCCCACAGACAGGACAGACTAGGTCAAAGGTTGTGTGGCTGGGTTGGCGTCCCTCTCTACTGGAAGTCTTGCCTGCTCACAGGTGATGGCCAGTTCAAGCTATGCATCCACCATGGCTAAGAGTCTTAGCTGGGGTCATCCTTGTGGATGCCTGGGCATTTCCCTAGCACCAGGTTTCCACCTCGACCCTGAAATGCTCCCCCTTTCCAGTCATCTCTTTCAGTTTTCTCTGCCTCCATCCATCCCCCTGAACCTGATCCCTCATGTTCCCATCCTCACCTGCCCCCAGTGCACCCATGAAATCTCTTCGATTTCACTTTCCCAGGGAACGCCATGTATCCCCGCTGAGGCCTGCACCTTTCTGAACAGAAACAGAGGAGGAGTAGATGGGGGAAGGGAGCGGCAGGGGTGGGGATGGGTGGAGGGGAAAGGGAGGAGAGGGGGAAAACCATGGTTGGGATGTAAAATAAATAAATATAATTAAAAGAAAAGGTTCCTCTGTAAGATAGGGCATTTGCTTTCCCTCAGCTTCTGCTCAGTACAGGAGGTTGAGCCATCTGCTTTCTCTTTCATAGCCTCAAGCACAACCATCAGGGACTGGACGTGTTCGCCCTCATCACTTCTAACCACTCCTGCCCCTGACAACACCCTCTTTACATCCTTACTCCCTAGGGTGGGGAGGCAGAGTGTGAGAGTCTACCTTGTGTCTTGTAATAGCCCGCGAGAAGAAGGCTCCATATCATAACAGCAGCATCTTTTCTCACGAGAGAATAACCCTAATATAAAGTAGCAAATGTTACATGTAATGCGGTTCCAAACTCTGCAGACTTTGCAATAACGTGGAGTGACTGTCACCTCAGCTGACTTTGGGCAAGGCCTCCAGCTACACCACCTTAGTGAAAGAGGTAGTTGTTTAGGGGGAAGCTCTGCCTCAGCTCCCTTCCTCCCTCTCCTAACTCCGCCCCTCAGAAAGCCTGCCAAAGGGCAACTCCTCCTCCTGAGATGCTCAAGACCACACCTCCAGGGTATTTAAGGCCTGGGTCCTGGACTTGCCCTGTGATTTCTTCTCCTCCCATTTCTGAGAGTCACCTGGGAGCGCCCTGTTTTGCTTTGCTCTGTTTATTAAACCTGATGTTATTAATTTTGCTTGATTTCGCTGATTGCATTGGCAGAGGGACCCCAAAACCAGGAATTTTCAAAATACTTAACAGTAGTCTTCAGAACTTTGCTAAGCCTCAACTTTGGGAAGGCCTAGAAGGCATAAAAAAAGCATTGTTTTAAAACAGAAAAGAGTTCTTAACATGCACAATATTTGAGGAACGGTGGGAAATTCAGTCAGGCCAGGAAGCACACCCTGCTAGCTCCCATGACCCTTCTTATTATTGGGGCATCAGATGTGGCTGAAAACAACAGAAGGTGGAAATAATTAAATAACAGAGACAAAACACATACGCTGTCAAGTGACCTGGGTCTTAGCCAAGAGCTGACAATCTCAGAAAATATTTTGCAGAAGATTGTGCATTTCGTAGCCCTACCCTGTGACTACGATAGGAAATTAGTCCTGGATTTTAATTAAGCTTTCTCAGGCCGAGGCAAGACGGAAATAAATGTGGAGAGCAAGCCTAGGGTTTACTTTTCTCAAACGTTTTTTTTTTTTTATTCAGCAAAGCATACACTTAAAAAATACATAAAATCATCTAACAAGCAAAAACAAAAACAAAACAAAAAAAACCCCAAACCCCAAAACACCCCAGAAAAAAACCAGCAAACATGCCATACACATGAATGAAACATACTGAATCTTCCTGCCAGTGATGTATTTTGTTTCTGAATTGCAGGGCTCACAGGAACTCATAGACTTGGTGTGTGCGCACCAGAAGATTTTAAGTGCACATTTAGGAAGGATGTTTATTTGAAATAAGGAATCTTGAATTATAAAACTGTGAATGGCTTGTAGAACAACACAGCTAACTAAATTAAGACTTTGCTCATATAAACTAGAGTAATCTCACCCGCAGAAGTTGAAAAATATAGATCTTCTAGATTTCCACAGGGCGCCACCCCAGTCAGTTTTCATCGTGGGTGGCACTGGCAGATGGCTTGCTCTCTTCACCTGGTGGGCCGTGACCCCGCTGACTTGGAATCGCTGGAAGTACTCGGTTTGTTCTCAGGGGTTCTCCAGACAGAACTGGGTTGGAGAAGGGTCAGGGGATAGAATGAAAGATACTGAAGATTTGCTTCTCCCAGAGGCTCCTACGGGATGGCGCAGGAGAACCCTGCGCTTTCTCAAGGAGCAGAAGCACATTCTAAGAAGCCTGTGCTGGTGGGAGCTGGACTAAGGAGAAAACCTGTGTGTTCATATTTAACCAGGCCTACTACACATCAGGGATTTGAAAAATGCACAAACACAGGATTGCGACAGCTCGGATTCCACGTGATCTGGCTGTGCGTGCCTGGCAGGGCACTTGGCGCTGGAGCAGTTCAGCACGCTGCTCTGAACGAGCCTGGAGACATTAGCTCTGATGCAAACCTCCAAAGGCTCTCAGGTTTCTTTTAGAAAGAGTTCAGCTTGTTCGATTTTTTTTTCTGTGTTCAGCAAAACTGATTAGAGATCTTTGTCGCCCTGAATTTAACTGAGAAGGCCTCTCTGGCTTCACCAGGCTACATTCGAGGTCAAGGAGCTGACTGAAAGCGAGTGCTGCCTGGGGCTTCTCTCGGACACCACTCAGAATCCTCTCTTGGCACTAATCAGTAAGGGCAGAGGATCAGCCTGTCACGGAGGGATCCCGGCTCTCTACCTCTACCTCTCTGACTTTGGACAAATGGCTCCAGCTCTGAGTTGACATCACTATGAAAAGGTGACATTGTACCACGACCCCATAGTTCACTGTCTTGACTCAGAGTCCTAGAACTCTTGGTTGGCCCCGTTCAGACTCTAGCCTAGGGAACAGAGGGCGCCTTGCCTACTCACTCTGTGTAAATAAATATGCCAGTGTCTTAGGCATGTAAGTATGTTGTCTCATTTAATCCTCTGACGGTCTCATCAGGATCGCGTTGTTATTGCAGCTACAGAGGGGAAAGGTTTAGGAACTTGTCTGGAATTGGTAGGGCAGTTCTAAAGTGATCTAACTCACAGTTGAATGTGGAGGCGTTGTGAGTGTGTATGTGTGTGTGTTAAACAGGGTAGGATTGTGTACAAAGAAGAAACTAAGTTGACTTGTTTCACGAGGCAGCTAATTCTCTGTATGCGTGTGCGCAGCTATGTAGCACAGGCTGGCCTCACGCTCTGTCGCCTTGCTTCGGCCTTTTGAGCACTACCACTGCAGGCATGAGGCACTATGCGTGCTCCCTGTTGCGCTAGGTGCTACCGTAGTGATGCTGGGGAGTCCTTTCCGGATTTAGTTTTCATGCCTGTCTAATGGGAGTAGTGATAAAACCCGCCTCCTAATATGGATGTAAGGATATATAAATTCATGATTTCTGGGTGTTAGATCACTATAATAAGCATATCAGGTGATATTTAGGCTCATCCAGTTTGAAGATTTCTGGTCTAAGAGAGTATGCTTTATATTACAAGAGTTTTAGATAAAATAGCGTGACTATAAATTAATAAAGCTGACTAAAGAAACTAAGCATGTTGGAACAGACTGGTTGGTAAATCTACATCTGGGAGGCTGAAGTAGGAGGACTGAGAATTTAAGGCCACATTGGGTTATACAGTGAGACCGTGCCTCAAACAAAGCAGAACCAAGCCCCAACAAACCAAGCACTTCCTTTCTTCTTAGCAATGTTTGCTCTGCAAGTAAATAGTTTCCAGGTCTCACCCAGCAAAGAACTCAGTCACATTCGGACCCCCTCCCTTCCTGAGCCTTGTCTCATGTAGCAGAGACTTGGCTCCAGATTCCATCATGAGACACCCAAGACTAGACTTGGACTGCCAATCTTCCTGAGAAGCTGGCATTGAAGCCACGCCCCAATAGACCCAGCTGAAGGTCCGTTCTTAAAGACATTAAACAATACATAGCTAAACACACTTCCGCTATTGTGTTTGCATTTCACACAAAATTCCCTGAGGGGAGAAAAGGTTTTCTTTTTTAAGTAGGCGTTACTAATTTCCAGGACCTTTCAGGGATGTTCTCTGTGCACAAGTATTGGCACCTGACACTCTTGAAAAAATAGAAAGGCAGTGAAGTGCTTCTGTGTTTGTCTAGACATGTTAGTGCTTGTGGAGAACGCACGGGAGGGGTGGGGTGGGGTGCGAGTGCTTACATTTTTGGTCCGGCAGAGGTGCAAGGCTGTTCCGAGTGAGAGGGAGATCCCTGAATTTGGGTCTGTTTGGGGAGAGGTGCTGCAGAGTTTGTCCTGGGAACAAAACACATTCGTATCACTCATTTGAGACTCAACCCAAAGCAAACCATAAAGTCCAGTGGAGAAGAGAGGTGTCAGAGTTGTTGAAGGTCCCGTAAAGTAGCACACACAATGGCAATAATAATGGCCACACCCTATTACACGCCACTCACGCCTTAAATGAGAAGGCATTAAACAAAACGTTTTGTTAAATTTACTCATCCATGGGGGGGGGGGTGTCATGGGGGGGGGAGTGGGGTTTTTGTTTTACTTAAAAAAAATTTGTGTGTGTGTGTGTGTATGTGTGCACGCACGCACTCATGTGAGTGTGGAGTTCAGCCCTTTGAGCACTAGCATCGTAGGCATGAGCTATTAAGCTTGGCCTCTGGCTTTGCTCTGGGTTGTGTTATGTGCTACCTAACTAATCTTTCCACCACATAAAAATTCTTCCTCTGCTATCCTAGGGCTAGAACTCAGGTCAGGAGACTAGGT